GCTCCAAGCTTTTTTTCGAGGTAAGATTAAGAAGCGCTGGGATTACGTCCACACAAACGCGATGGGTATTGCATTTATGCTTGACCCAGCCATGGATCTCGACGACTTTGTCGGCTTGGACGACGAGACAGTGGATGAACAAATTCGCAAAATGGCGAAGGATTGTAGGCTGCTCACACCAACACTTGGTATTCCAAAGCTCACGGCTGAGATTTTCAACTTCAAGAGCAAGAAACGATCTGGTGGAGAAGCACTCCGTGAGACGTATTCAGAGTCAAGCCCACTTGACTACTGGAACGCCAAAAGCAACAAAGAATTTCCTTTGCTCAAGAAAATAGCTGCAATTGTGTTCTCAATACCGACATCATCAGCTGCAAGCGAGCGCGCCTGGAGTATATTCGATCCCATTCATTCGAAGAGGAGAAACAGACTCTCCGTTGAAAAGGTCGAAATGCTTGCCTACATCTACATCAACCACGGTAGCATCAGCCACGATGCAATTGATCTTGCTCGCCATCAGTCTTGTCCAGAAAGCGTAGACAGCGAGTAAAATGTAAAGTTCATTTACATTTTACCTTCCTCTCGCATTCCTCTACGTCGGAGAACGCAGTCAATGTGCTTCTGCACATTTCACCGCTTGGAGCACGTCAAGCCCGGTGAGCGGTAAGAGGAGGAAGTTTGAGATTTCAAAGACGAGTCTATGTCGAACTCTTTCTGCTTTTCGTTGAACTCGACGCCCTCGTAGATGTACACGTCCATGGACGTCTAGTAGTTCCCCACCGTCACGGACACGTGCGTCTTGCGCTTGATGAGCACCGACATGAACTTGCCCACAGTCTCAATACCCTGTGACAGCGGGGTGACATCGACCAGCAGCAGTTGGTGGCGTCGTTGCTGATGCCATCCAGGGTGGCGCCCTGCACGGCGCACCGTAGGTGACTGCCTCGTCCCGGTTGGCTGACTTGAACAGCTCCTTGCCGCGGAACAGCGTGGACAGCATGAGGGAATACGTGTAAAACCTCCGACCCGCACCAGTCCTCGGGCTTCATCTTGGCGTCCTCCAGCACCTTGAACACGGTCACTTCACAGCGCATGAACAGCTCCTCATTGAGGGACTCGAACTTAGCTCGGGTAACGACGGTGGACGAGAATTCCACGCCCTCGAACAGGGAGGTCACCTCCACCGAAGCGGACGTAGTGGTCAGCAGCATGCGTTTGGCCGACTCACAGGCCGTGACGACGCTTGCACGAGCCGAGCCCGACGGGTCCAGGTTGCGGATCTTGCGCTCGAACTCCGTCAGCAGGTGCTGCACCATGTTGTTGTCGGAGTCCTCTGCACTGTCGCCGCCGGTCGACTTGACCTCAAGATGCCGTACTCGAATGGACAGGATCGACACATCGACGGTACCGCCGCCCAGGACAAAGATCTGCACGTTGCAGGCCTTGCCATCCGTGCCAGCGTTCGTGTCCAGGCCGTAAGCAAGGGCAGCGACCGAGGTCTCGTTATTGATACGCTGCAGGTCCAGACCGGTGATGGAGACGACGTCCTTGGTGGACTGACGCTGCTGGTTGTTGAAGTACGCGGGCGCCGTCACCACAGCCTGCGAGATTCTCTGGCCCAGGAAGGCCTCGGCCATCTCCTTCATGCGCAGCACCACCATGGACGAGATCTTCTCGGGCGTGAAGCTCTTGTTCTCGCCCTTGAACCCACCTCGATCAGCACCTTGTCGTCGTCGCTCTCCTTGGTCGTGAACAGGAAGTATGTTGCATCCTTCTTCATCACCTTGTCGCTGAACTTGCTGCCGAAGATTCGTTTGATCTCCTCCTCGATCTATGTGTACTTCACCTTGCGCGTGGCCTTGTTAACCTCGGCGCCCGATAACTCCTCGTCCTGCACCCCACCTCCCCCCGATCAATCCGCGCCTGATGGAGACCGGCTTACAGTGCTTATTTTGCTTCTCTGGGTGTAGCCCGTGATGGTCTTGGCGTAGAGTTTGGTGTAAAACTCGAAGGGCGGCTTCCAGACGCGTGCGAACTCGATGTAGAGATCAATGCGCCTTGGCGCCCTGTATGGCCGTCAGACTGGTACGTGTCTGACGCACACAACGACCATCCGTTGATGCGGTGAAGTGTGTTCGGTCGTTTGGAATGCATGGGTTTATTCTTAATAGTAGTTTAGAAAGGTTTTGGATTTGGGATGGAATTTTGGACGTTTTCTCAAAGTGTTTTAGACTGTTCTGAACTAGTCTAAAACCATCCCTAGGTACGAATGATCCCGTCGTGGACTTGTCACCGTGGTAAAGCTGGATATCGAGATGACGTTCTGAATGTAGCCATCTGAACGAATGCAGTTAAAT